GATCCATTACAAATCATTTCTCTTCCCTGCTCTGCTCCGAGGGCGGGTTCCTGCCTGAAACCTCGCCCTGAGGGCGGGTTCCTGCCTGAAACCTCACCCTCCAGGAAACAGCTGGGGGAGGGCACAGCCATTTCCAAGACAACCCCTGCAGGACTGACTTCCTTCCGGTTGGTTGTGCTTCTGGCTGTGATGTTACACCCAGGGTTTTTATATAAGTAAATATGCATAACCCATGGACACAGACAATAGTGTAGTAGGCCTAGGGGAGGCTATGAGGTGAAGGAAGTCAATGGAGGAAGAAAGGGGGACATCTGTAACACTTTCAACAATAAAGACAAAATTTTTAAAAATGATTATTTTGGCATCAAAATATAATGATATCTAATCCTTTATGAGGGTTTCCTATGTGCCACATTCTATGCGTTTTATATATCTGATTTCATTTAATACACCTTGCATCCCCCTCATGGTTTTCTGAGGGGTGCACTATGAATATTTTCAAATTTCAAGAGGCTAACCAATTTGCCTAAAGTCAAACTAGTTTGGAGTGCAGACGGGTTGAATGCATGCAGTATTTACTATTATTATGATGATTAATTATTGCTGCAAAAAAGCTTTATTGTTTCCATTTGGTCCAATGCATGGGAGAGCACTTCAGGGTGGTTAAAAGGATGTCTAGTAGTTTCAGGAAGAGGCTCAGGCAGAAGTCAGACAGGGGATGCAGAGGGGCCCCACAGAGGACTCTGGGCTCCATGGATCCAGTTATGTTTGAGGGTGAACCTTTCAAAGAGACACTCAGCCCCAGCCTGGGGGCTGGGCAGCCTGCAGAGGGTAGCCAGGGGGTTTCCCATCTTCTCTGTGAGTTTCACCTCCTCATCCAGGAAATGGTTCCTCAGGAAGTCAGAGAGATGGGGGTCTGTATGAGACCCAAAAGGGCCTGGTTCAGGTTCTTCTCCATGAGCATGGCGGCTTCCATGGCATTCTGAGTTTTACCCGCCTCACTTTGGGAAGAGGGCACGGTTACCACACTGGCTTTGCATCTTCAAGAGCCGCTCCGTACCCTCTTGCTTCTCCTTGGCCAACTTGCGGAAGAAGTGGCCCATGCCCTCCAGAGCCACGTTGTCCAGGTTGAAATAAAGCCCAGAGAGGTAGGTGTAGGAGGCCCTCAGATGCAGGCTGACCAGATTGTACTTCATTAAGGCTCCTAATAACTCTTGCATACGCAGAGGTATTTGAAATGCTTTGATCATTAATAAAATCCAAACAGAAAAGTACCTCAAAGAAGAGCCGAAGGTGGAGAGCCAACTGAGAATCCCTGCTTCCTTTCTTCCACCGGCAGGGCTTGCCTCCCACCTTCTGCATCAAATTGCTGCATTTTAAAGTGACTGTTATCAATCACAACAATCATTGCTTAGTGGGTTAATGTAAAAATTCACCTTGTTACTCCTAATAATGAGATAAGTAAAAGGTTTGCCTTTTTGAATAACATGATCTAACTTTTGTTATTGAATAACAGCAATGTGAACTGTTGCATTTTCATGCATAAATTTTGTTCAAAACCTGTGGCATCCCAGAGGTTAGGAATATTGAGTTGTTTTTGAGTCTTTTCTTTATTTAGCTCCTGTCTTCTTGCCCCATTTTTTAAAGGTTGAGTCTTTTGTTGTAAACCACATCAAATCCCTCTTGGAGAGACAATGAATAAGTGAATACAAATGTATAAGCAGACTTTTAAATGCCAATTTGGTATTCTGTGTTCTTTATCTTAACCTCCATTTAAGTTTTGGTCATTGTACAGAAATATTTGTCAATTATTCCAAAATTTAAGAACAAGTTCATCATTCTAGAGCCTTATCTAATTGGGAATAAAGACATAGCATTTCATATCCAATAAAATAACATCATAGTGATGCCTATCTAATGCAAGCTATATTTTCATCTGACTCCACAAGTTGGATTTTTAAAAGTGTGTTACCTTTCCTATTAACTGTTACAGAAGCTTGGGACAGAAAGTGGGACAGAAAGTCATTTAAGAGGTCATTAAACTAGGCAAGAGATTTTAAATTCTAGGAAGACTTTGCCCTCCAATGGAGGACAGAAATCTGCTGAAGAATAGAGTTATATGTAATGACAAGTTGGCTTTTATGTGGGAGTTCACATTTCAAAGGGAAAAATCATTCTAAACCTGTAGAAAAAAAGAAGGTATATACTTGAACTTTAAGATTAGATATGAAAAGGTACTTGTTCAGAACTACAATATTTGATGGAATATTTTACGAAGAGATGATAAATAGGTTTTCAGTGAAGACATGCTCCAAATCTTCGAAATATTGTGAACAAATAGCTGAAATAAAAGAAACTTTTCACACAGTTAAAAAATGTCTTTCTTTAGCAGTTGATGACTAGATTGTCAAGTAAAATACAATATAATACCCTGCAAAGTAAACTCAAAACAGAGAATAAAAGTAAACCACACGCACGTGAGCACGTGTGTGCGCGCGCGCAGTAAAATACAATATAATACCCTGCAAAGTAAACTCAAATCAGAGAATAAAAGCAAGCCACATGCACGTGCGTGCGTGCGCGCACACACATACACACACACACACTCACACACCAATGTGACTTTGTGACACACACACACACACACACACACACACACACACACACCAATGTGACTTTGTGGCCTAGATTCTAAGGGGAAAAAATAGAAATTAAGATGTTGCTATTGTCTAAAAATAGCAGAGGAGTTTCTGAACTGTCCATGTTTCACCAACTGGCACATCTGAGGGAGGGCTCCCATATGCATCGATGCATTATCCTTGTCATGTAATTGATGCCTAGCACTTCTCAACCCATCAAATGCAGTCTTGAATGGAAGGGACATTCATCTCCATGTAAGAGGATCATCACTTTGAAACTGCAAGTGATCTCAAATTTCCTAACAGCTCAAATGACAATATTGCACAGTGCTACTGATTCATTTCCCGACTGCCAAAAGCAGACAGAATCTCACATACCAGAGCACACTGGGGAGTTCCGATACCATTTCCAAGTAGCAGAGGGAAGAGATCACTGTGCCCAGATTTTACTGGCTGACTAGGTCTCCGTTTTCTGGGGTGTAGGAGGCTTCAACACTATCCAAAGATCCTGAGGGGAGGGCACAGGAAGAGATAGTTTTACTTCCCCTAAAATGATGTTCTAGAACTTCAGTGACCTCACTGCCTTCACAAAGCCTGAGTTTCATAGTAAAAGTAATACAGAAGGCATTTTCCTTTCTGATATTAACATAATTCTTTTCGCAATGAGCTCTTTAACGTATGAAAGAATATTTCAAGGTACCTATGTCATGGCAGAACTCCTATATGTACTAGGAAGTCTGGACAGGCTTTCAAAATTCTGATCACCTGAAAACCTCCAGAAAATATGCTGAAACTAGATGCCAGAGGCTCCAGGTTTATTTAACATGTTAAGCACCCAGCCTGTTTTGTCTTCCGGACAGAAAGTAGTGTCAGTCACTGGTGACTGACTGGGCGCTTAATGTGTTAAAGGGAAAATAACACCAGTTAAAATACAGATTAAGATAATCCTATCTAATAAAGAGGGAATATGCTAATTGGTCCTCAGGCAGTCGCAAAGATGGTGGCGCCCACAGCCAATAAGGAGGGAATATGCTAATTGACTGCCACACCCTCAAATATGGCGGCGCCCAGTCCCCTCAGCCCCGTGGCGCACCTGCCTCCGG